TGAAACATAGCTCAAAATGTTCGTCTATTTTAGGAAATGTCTTCCAAAACTGTTTTACGTTTAGAAAGCCCAACACCTGACGATTCCATATCAGTGTTGGTTTTTCAAAAAAAATTCAAATTTGATGGAGAAAATGCAATTTTAAATAATAGTTTAGTAGTTCAAATATTTAGTAGTAGTTGTTTTATTTAATTTGAAAATATATTCATTTTTTATTAGCAAATATTTTCTTTTTTTGTGAATTAATAAATAAAATAGCTGGTGATATCGGTTGAGTTTCTTCCGTTAAGATGCGACAGCTGCAGCCACAGCAGTAGGAATTTAGTTATATAATTCCTCTTTGTCAGATTCATTAACTTAATCTATATCAAGTATTAATCCGCACTATAACTAGTGGTGAAAAATCTAGACAAGTAGAATAATAGGATAAGAAAACATGAACTATTCCTGTTTACAGTCACCATTTACTGAGAACGTCACTATTTCGTTCATTTCTAAGTTTGACACTTTTTCATATGAAAATTTATTTTTCGACATTTTTCCTTTCGATCTTTCTACTGCACTCGAAATATTCCATTGGAGTTATAAGACCATCATAATATCTTATAACAAGAACTTTGTTGTACAGCAGTTCTTTTGTCGTCTCTTTTAGTTGATCTATATCAGATATTAAGGCGTGCGTAATTCAAACTTCGAGCACTGACAAGTTTATCTGGTAAGAAAGATCACACAGTTGTTCACTTCTCAGCAGAAAACGAAAAGAACGAATGGAAAAGGTATTATGTTATGTAAGTTATGTAATATTCTTATTATTAGTAATATAATATTATTATAAAGATTATTACATGGCTTTGCTAGCGTTGAGGTGCGAACGCGGTACGTTTGAAGTACTTGACGAACAACATAACTATCAAGCCTACCTATTGCATGATTCTTGTCTGGAAGTCTCAACGTTATGAATCTAACAGTAAAAGGATTTTTCAGTCTTGTGCAGAAATGACTTATTTATACGTAGAATATTGAACGACAGTGCTCTATATAGACGTTACTTTGTTCTGTTCTGTTTATTTTTCGTCTTCTCGTTCGAAGTAAATATGTGTCCTACACTTCCTCACAATATGAAACTGAGTTCTTACCTTATCATTCTATGAATGAGTCATCCTGTAACGCGTGAATATTACACAAAATATCTCTTCCATCTGTTCTTTTCGTTTTCTGCTGAGAAGCGAACAACTGTGCGATCTTTCTTTCCAGATAAACTTGTCAATATGTATGTCAGCTTAACAAATTTTAATTTGTAATTTTTAATTTTTTTATAGAATTAAACATGACCGATAGGCTGAGCGAAAATATTAAGGTAAGAAGCCAGATTCAAAAAGAATTATTACAGAACCTCGTTGCTGTTTTTAGGAATGACTCATGCCATGAGCAATATCCGCAAACGGTTTGCGTATATTGCTACAAACGAAGATGAATAAAAACGTAATAATGTGTAATAATGCCAAAAATAAATTCATATAACTTTCTTGAATTAGCGGCGCCTTACTTCTCTTCTGAAAATAAAATTATTTTTTCTACACATCCACGTACGATCCGTTCGTACGATTCTTCGACCTCGGTTGATTTGACATAAACCTGATAATATTTAAAAGCGTTTGTCTCAACTTTTCTACATTGATTTTGTACAAGTAGATGTATTTCCAGAAAGTCCCAGGATTTTCATTAAAAAAAAACTCTGTAATGAAAGTCATCTAATCGATTCCTATGACTTTTCTAGTTATTTGCTAAATAGTGAGAAATTGTTTTTACGCTTTTGTTTCTGATATTCAGTCAATGGATAATAATAATAACGCTGATTTAATTTCACTTAATGACTATGCAGCGAACGACATAGCAATAGTTAGTCATACTAGGTTCGTACAACAATCGGATATTGAATTGTTAGCGAATGTATTTATGCGAAACAAATATGAAGATATCACAATCATATGGTTTGATGATAATATTGACGAAGTAATAGAACAAAAACTTCAACAAATGCACGATAATATTATTTTATGTTTCAATTTTGAACAATTATCCGAATATGTAAATGATATTCAAAACCAAAAAATTGTTCTTATTGTTAGTGGCCGGTATTTTCGTGATACATTATCACTATATAATCCAAATGAGAAAATTGAGTCGATTTATATTTTTTGTTTAAATTTTCAATCATATGGTGGTTTAATTGGTGATAAAAAATATTCAAAATTAATTGGCGTGTATACACAATATGATCAATTATTTAAAACATTGGACAAGGAAATATATTCATTATCAAAATATTTATCAATATTTGATTTATTTGATCGAAATAATAAATCAGTACGTGATTTAGAATATGAAACAGCGGATTATTCGTTTTATCAAATATTACGTGATACATTAATGAAAATGCAAACGAAAGCAGATGAATCGAAACAAGATATGCTTAACTACTGCCGATATTATTACCAGTCTAATATGTCTTATTTAAAACAAACTGATCAGTTTGAGAAAGAATATCAGCCGTGTGAAGCTATTCGATGGTTTACAAAAGATTGGTTTCTGTTTCGATTTGTTAATAAAGCATTAAGAACAGAAAATATTGATGCATTATTCAAGCTTCGATATTTTATTATTGATCTTTGCACACAGTTAAAATTATTATTTGATGAAAATTACGATCTATATCAAGAAACATTCGAAACAATCACAGTTTATCGTGGTTTAAATCTACCCGATAGTGATATTGAACAATTAAAAAATTTAATTGGAAAATATGTGTCAACAAATCGATTTCTATCTACGTCTCTATCACGTGATCTTGCACAAATATTTGCTGCAAATGTTTTATTTGTAATCAAATTGATACAAAGTTACAAAATATTATTTATGCTGAGATATCCCAGTTAAATGTACTACCCGAGGAAAATGAAGTTTTATTTGATTTAGGTGCAACATTTTTTATTATAGATATTCATAATGAACAAGATAAGTGGCAATGAACACTATAGAGATCCCTAAATATTTGCATAACGTTATTGATCTCAGTCGAGATCTTCTCAACGATATGAATTCGGATGTCGCGCATGGTTTGATTTTATCGGATATGGGTCGTTATAGAGGATGTATTGGATATTTTGAAAATTTATTAAATAATACAGTACAAAGCGATCGTGATAAATACATGATTTTCTGCCGACTTGCTGCACTTTACTCTTATTTTGGACAACATTTGATGGCATTAAAATATGCAAAAAGGTCAATAAGCCTTCGTACCGTTTATTCGACAGACTTTTGTGATGATATGGAAAGATTCGGTACAATATTCGCGAATGTGGAAGCATATGATGCTGCATTCTGGTGCTTTGAAATAGCAATGAAAAATGCTAATAATATCCTTGAAATAGCACAGCTTCATTCGCATTTGGGGAAATTCTATTGTACGCAGAAGACTTATGTCTACGCACTCAAACATTGTCGACAATCGCTCGAAATTTACAATGAATTTTTTGCAGACTATTTTTCTATATTAGCAGATACGCTTTACGACACTATAGGTACAGTTTATTGTGAGATGAACAATTATCAAATGGCAATTGAATATTTTCATAAAGCTTTGTCAATAAGACAATCCAAGTATCCACGAAATCATTGGCCGAGTATAACTCTGTATACTTCACTTTGTTATTGTTATTATGGCACCGAGCAATATGATTTATTAGAAGAATATTCGAAAAAATTACTTGAACTGGAATAATACTCGATATCAAATGAAGGATTAACTATTTTTAGTAAACAGTTAGCTGATCTGGGTGCTTTATACAGGTTGATTGGCATGTGTTATTTCAACAGAAAGGAATATAATACTTCAATTAGTTATTTACTCAAATCATTCAAAATACGACAGCAAATTTCGACGGATAATGGTAGAGAATTTGCCCGTGAATGTTACTTCATTGGACAATGCTATATAGGAACTAAACAAATCGAATTAGCTCTTAAATATTGGAATAAATCGCTTGAAATTTACGAAGAATATCCATTAGTAGAATTACATGACAGAATTATATGCAGTAAGACTTATATACGTATTGCTGCGATTTTGTATCAAAGAAATGATTATGAACAGTTCTTCTTTTAGATGAGATCTTCCATACCTGGCAAACCTATCGACTCTTCTTAGATAAGAGATAAAGCCAATATTATTATGTCGTTATACTGGCCATAACGGCACGAAAAAAGTTATCCTTTCTCAAGATTTCGTTTCGTCCTTGAGATATTGCATTTTTCGTAAATCTATCGAGTTTCGTCTAAAACGACCCCCTAAAAAGATCTTGAAAATATTTGTGTTAAAGTCTACTATAGAAGAAAATTGTGCTTGTATCGATTGAAAGTTATATTTCTGTGTTAGCCATCAGAGAACTGTTAGTAACAAAAAAATTAAGTTTATCTGGTCTTAAAACTGTTAAGATCAGACGATAGAAAAGTACAGTAAGATATATTTGCCTGTCATCATTTAAAAGCATCCTTGCGTTTACTATAAAATGAATTTCATTTCGCAGAATTATTACTGCTTGAAGAATTCTTCTCCGGTTCTTAGCTGAGAACCCAAAACCGCAGTTCGGTTCTAAGTTGGGAACCGGAACCGCGGTTCTTTTCGATTCGATTCTACCTCGAGAACCAGAACCGGAAACCGTAATGTAGTCCACCATCCAGGTGGCTAGCACTGCCATTGGAAAGGTTGGAGTTGATTGTAGTTTACTTAAATCTAATCTGATTTCAGTTCCTATCATCGTTCTACCTTCTTCCCGACAATGTTGCTCCATTTGCCGCTCATATTTTGTGGGGAAAAGCTCGATTCGTATTCCCGACATCGTTAGGCTTAAAACTATTGTTTTGTCACAACATCTATTTGAAAGAAAATAGTCGATGCTGTCCTAGCTATCTGGAAGGTGAAATCTTAAAAGTGTCGGCTATAGAGAAAAGTAAACATAATCAGTCGGAAACGATGAAGAACCGAAAACAACAGAACCGCGGTTCCGGTTCCATTCTTAGAACCGGTAGCACGGTTCGATTCCCGATGAAGAATCGAAAGCAAGAGAACCGCGGTTCTCGGTTTTTGTTTTCTTAACAAGAACCGAGAACCGAACATCCCTAACCTTAACTTTGACAGCCGTATATATATGAAGCTTTTAATATCAGTTATCCGGATAATACGAAAATGACTCTTCAAACAGTCAATGGTATTCTATTTAAATCAAGAGATTTTAATTTGTCGCTTGGTTCTCAACGTTTTCTAGAATCAGTAAGTTTAGAGAAGTTAAAATATCTGTTAAGTGAGCACGAGATAAGGTTAGAGTAAGATCTAAATAA